CCATCATCACTCCATTACATCATGTACCACTAACTTCACCCCTAATTGATTCACAACCTGGTTGAAGATGAACTTGTGGGAAGCCTCGCTGTCACCTCCCTATCTGATATTTCCCTATTCACCTTTATGGTATGATTCAGAGTGAATCTACCACTAAATACAAGGAGACCTCTGCCAAATCCAGATGCAGCTTATCCTCCATCTCTCCCTTTACCTCCCTCCTCAGCTTTCCCATCATTAGAGACAGTGAGAACCTGAAGTATACTTCTCATCACATCTGAAGTATAATCTCTTCACCCTTTCCTCCTGCATCTCCCTCTCCATTAATCTTTAGAAGTTCCCACCCACTTCTTTCTCCTGTTGGCTTCTTCCTAGGAGTCTCATGAATGTTGACTGATACCGGCCCCTTGGGTGCTAGAGGATGGTAGTCATCTTGTAAGAGCCGCCTAAACTGCTGTCCCTAGCTCCCCTCTCCTGATACTTCTAATCCTCCAATAGTTGTGTCAACTCCATAGCCTCCCCCAAATCATGAGGCCTCATGACCCTCACTGCTGCTCGAATCTCTGATTTAAGCTCCTTCATAAAATTTCCCTCCATAACAGCCTCCAATAGTCAATCCAATCGGCTTTCCAAAAACTCAAATCTCTCACAATAATTTGCCACTGAACCTTCCAGCGCTAGTGCAAAGAACTGCTCATAGAAATCCCCTCCCCTGCTAGTTTGGAAAAGTTCCAATAAGCATTTCTTGAACTCTCTCCAACTCCATATGGGTCCCCTTATATATCTCCACGGCTACTAAGACAACGTCTTTCCTTCCAAACAAAAGCCAACAACCATCAATTTTTCCTCCTCCATCATCCCATTAATGACGAAATAGCTCTCCACCATGTAGATCCACCCATATGCATCCTCCCCTTCAAAGATTGACATCTTCAGCTTCTGCATATTCAGATCTCCATCATTTCCCTGGATTCCCCCATAATTTCCCCTTGCCCAAGTGTTTGGTCCTCCCCAAGTATCTCGATCTTCCCTTCCACGCTCATATTCAAACCCCTCTTCGCTTTCTCCCCTCTCTTCAAAATCAGCACCCCTCCTACCATAATCCCCCTCTTTTCTCTCCCAACCAAAACCCCTTGGTTCATGCCCCCTAACCACGCCTCTCTTCATACCTTCCCCATTTCTCCTCCATGATCACCACATCGTTTTCCCTCCTACGAAATTCAGAATTTGTAGTTTCTTCCCACAGGTCCCTTTGTCTCCAATGCCTCCTTTTGAATTTAATTTTCTAATATCTTCTTCACCATCTCATGAAGATCGGAAACTTTGTCTTCCACGGATGAAATTCTATCTTCCACCTATGCTTTCATTTGGCTCATCTCCCCTTTGAGGCGTTCCTCCAACGTATCCATTTTCTTGGCCGCCATCAATGCCCTGATTTTTGTTGTTGTTGGACTCAAAAATCTGAATCTTGCCTCCAAAAACAGCAAAACAGTCCCCTTCCAGTTAAAATTCAGCAGCTGATTTCCTTAGAAAAATCCTCCAAAGAGTCCTAAAATCTTCTTAGACACCAATTTTTTAGAAAATACTTGAAGATTTCAAGTAAGCCCTAACAATAAAAGAAAAAACAACAAGAACGGTCCACAAAACCAATTGAAGAAACTAGAAAACAATAGTTTTTATTGCAATAATCAAACTTACGGAAGAAAAATAGCAAGATACAACTGATCCTCTAGTCAAGAGGACGATCTATCTCTCCCAATTCCTAGACGCCGCTAGAGCCCAAGACATCAAACTCCAAGAACAAGAACAGCTACAATAATTGCATGCCCTAATCCTTCTAATCTCCTTCTGTAAGAAAACGACATTAGGAGCTAGCACCCCCCCCCTTCCTTCCTAATTATCCTAGTGGCCCCACCCCTAGCATTGGCGCAATCAATAGGGCAGACCAGCTTTTGTCCCCGCCTTTTATAGATTTGAACCGGTCCCTTGCCAAGGTCTGGTTGGATCGGTCCAACACATGCCAAAAGATCAATGACATAGAAATGGCCTTCAAAACTTGATTAAACCAAAGATTGATGATGTTTGGTATTCGAAGTTCACTTTAATTTGCACACAAAGTAATTCTTAGGATAAGAAAAACTAGGTATATACCATGATTTAAAAATCCGTGCGAGGCGTGCGGCATGCCTCAAATTGAGGCGCACAAGAAACACCTCAGGACTTGAGCCTCATTGGCACCAGTGAGGCTTACACCTTTTAAAATGAGACATATGCATCAAGGCGTTTTGAGACAAAACCTCATTCAAGATAAATTTTATGAAAATTTTTTATTAACGATTATTATTATACTATATTTTACTCTATTATATAAATAGAAGGAATTGATTGACTATAAGACAAATTATTTATTTTATACTTAATTAAAAGATAGATATCTCAGATTACAAAAGCAAATAAATAGTGATGATAAAATGGATCATTTTGTTGTTGATAATATAAAATTGAGATTGTTGCTTTCTATTTTGGTAGACCTACAATTGGATTGTTGTTTCTAACTTGACATGATTAGTTATGGTGTTTAATGTGTTATAAAATGCTAAAATGATCAAAGTATCCACAAATACATTCAAGCTCTAGAAGGTAGAACTGATGAGAGATGATCACAGCCTTCCCTACACAACATATATTTCTTGCTAAAAATTCCCTCCAAGCCACAATCTCCTCTAAGAACTGCTCGAAAGATGGAGATAGAGAAAGAGAGTGAAAGAGAGAAAAGCCATATGATGAGGACATCTTCAGTGATTTCGACACATGTACCATTAGGAGACGTCGGAGATCGACGGCCACGATCATGAGTTGTATTTTTAGTTATTTTATGTAGTAGTTTATTTTATTTTATGTTTATCCGTTTTTGCCCTTATGGGCATTTGGTCGCTATTGTAGCCCAAGTGGTATTTTAGTCTTTTGTTTTCTTTGTCATTTGGAGGCCTATATATATGGTCATTTGGAGGCCTATATATATGGTCATTTTCCTATGTAAGAGAAGTTTTTTTGGATGAATGAAAATTTGACATTTCATGTTCTCTTTGTGAGTGCAAACCTCCACGATCTCTTAGTGAGTTCGTAGGAGAAGCTAGATCTCTTTGTGAGTTCTAAGTCTTCTTGTTCTACTATTTTTCTTCCTTTATTTCTCGTGATCGATTCGTTGTCGTGGAAATTCGGTTGAAGCATTTGTGGGAAATTGGAATTCACTCCTTGAATCCCTATATTTTTCCCTACCCCTTCCCCTCCCTTGATCACTGCCGCCGCCCCCCTTCTGGATTACCCAGATTGCCGGCCTGCAGCCCCCAAACCACCGGCCAGCAGCCACCGGCCAGCCCAACCAGCCAGCCAGCAGCCTCCGGCCAGCCCTCCAGCCCGCTGTCCCCCTTCCTGCCGCCGCCTCCTTCCCCTCCTTTGAATTTCAAAATTGAAATTCAAATGGTTATGAGCCATTAATTGTTTCCTAAAGTTGCTCCCTAATTCACGCCATCAATTTAATTGATTTACAATTTCAAATTTGAAATTCAAATTGATTAAATTGATTCCCCTCATAATTGGAAGCATGCTCTCCTTAAGAAAACTGAAGTTTTAATTTTAGATTTTATTAAAATTCTGAAATTAAGACTAGTGGTCCCCACCTACTCAAAACCTCAACGCCACCTCACCACCGACATGGCCGGCCCCCTCATTGGGCTCCTTCTCTCTCTCCTAATCACATTAATAGCTCCACAAAATCAGCCCCAACTTCCTCCTCTCTTTATCGCCCCTCCCCTCCTTGATTTAATTTGAATTTCAAATTAAATCCCACCATTAAACCTCTCAAAATCTGAAATTAATTCAGAATTCCTGCACCTCCCTCCTTTCCTCCCACCCGAATTCCTCCTTCCTCCCTTCCTCTTGGCCGCACCTCTCCTAGGTGGCAATTCCTCCACCTTTCATTATTGCGATGCCAAGATCTCTGATAATTATGCATAGAGGAACCCGAATGGAACTTTGGATTTGTGCATGAAGATCGAGATCAAGTTGACATCCTCCAATCACCGTTCTTTGACGTGGGCTTTGATTTCGACGACACCATTGAAGATTACATCGACCGTATCCAGTACACTTTAGTTGACGGATCGACGAGCAAAGGACAAAGGGACGTTGGATCATCATTGGACGACCGTCATCCTCCACCACTCCGGCCACCTATCCAAGAACGACGATCTTAAGCTCCTTCTTCCTCGGAGTGACCTCGGTTCTAATGTGGACTCTTCTTCCGCTAAAGCCTAGACTATTTAAGCGTATGAGCTCCAAAGGTGAAAGTTCTCATTATTAAATGGCGGATTCTTGTTTATCGTCGTAGCGTACAATTACTCTTTGCGTTTCTTGAATTGTTTGGTCAATCTATTTCGCTCTTCTTTGCCTAAGCAAGTTAAAAACCAAGAATTCTAATGATCAATCATTGTTATAAGTAATAACTTTATTTTGGAATTATTTTGTTAATTTGCTCTCTTTAATTTCTTCAACTCCTGCTCGTTTCACATCACCATATCTTCTTTGCACCAATTTCTCAACGAAACCTTCTCACGTAGTCATTATTTTCTCCGGATCACTTTGCAACTGAGAGTTCGCACAATTGGAGGATATTCTGTTGCTTCAACACATAGTTAGGGTTTCAGGGTTTTGGAAAAGGAGACTAGAAATTTATGATACTAGAAATTGTTAAAAATTCACAGGACATTTATTTAGCTAATTTAGATACAAAATGCAGCAGCTACTCTATAAGGTTGCGTAAAACAAACATGATTATATTTACTTGAAGAGGTCACGTGAAGATTTCATAAACTAAATACATGTTTAAGCCACAGGAAGGGGCAACAATGATAAATGATTTGGGTTCAATCACATAGAAAAGTAAAATGTGAAAAGTGAAAACGATAAATGGATTCAAGGTTCCAATTTCAACTTCTTACAGCACGTAGAAGAGTCCTTCTATCCCTTTCACGAGCATTCTTAATTGCCTGTAAGCAAAACCAAGATTAATCTAGTCTAAAGGGGGTATAAATCACAGGAAAACTGATAAGCATCGAAAAGACAAATGAGATAACCAACCTCTTCAAGGGCCTTTTGCTCAGCCTCCACCTCTGAGGCATCCCTATGAAAATATAAAAATGCACTTTCATGATCAGCATCCCATTCAAAATTAGAAGGAAAAAAAAAAGTTGGCATTCTAACAAAGTCACCTCCCCACAATCTGATCCCTGCTGCAGCAACACTTGGCACACACATTGGAAGCCTTCGCACATCCTATGCCAAATATTTTTAAGCATTCAACAAGAAGATATGGATATATAAAATAATCTGCAAAAATCCAATCTACCAGAAACAAATGATCTGTTAAGTAAATGGAGTCACTTGCCTGAGCATAAACTATGATAAGCCTGGCGAACCGCTCTCTTGGTGCATTTCTGGCTGACAAAAATGCAATAAAATAGGATGAAAAGAAAAGAATGAACACTAAAATTTTAATGTAACTTTACAAAAAAAATTATTAAAATTAAGCAAAAGAAATAGCTCATTTGGTTGTTTAAATTTAGAAATTAGCATCTTGAAAAAATAATATTTGTTAAAACCATCATTTGATTGGACGTAGGGTTGTTTGAAATGCATATTTGACTATGATTTAACCAAAATTAAACTTATAGTTTGCCAAATGACCTTTTTCAAGCATCTAAATCCTAAGGTTCCTTGTATCTCAAGTTATAAGACTTGGTGGAAGGTGTTAAGCAAGATTTACACTATCAAATCTTGCGGGGTCTCGTAGGTTATTCACTCCTCTCGGTCTCACTGTGATCTTCTCTCGTCTCAATGACCAACTTTCCATATAGGAATCTTGCATGCAGTGGCAGAGCCAAAAAATTTATTCAATGGGCCTAAATTAATTGTTTTTAAACTTTCCCTCAACTTTTTTCCATCAGGGCTTGGGGTCGCCATATTTTTTTTAATTCGATGACCTCTTAGAATATCTCTCCATAATTGTTTAAAGTTTAAACCTATACTTTTAGAAAAGATAGCAAAAATTTCATGTTTTTATTACCAACAAACATAACAAAAGTGATGGTTGGCTGAGTATAGCAAGAATGAATAGAAATGTTAAAGTGATTAAAGCTTTACTTCCAAAAAGAATCCAACAAATTACAGGAAAAGTCTTAACACTAACAATAAGCGAAAGGCAAAATTTCAACCACTTAGAATAAAACACACAATCAGCGTCAAGAGATTATATTTTACTTGGTTTACTTGGAATGCAATATGCTCAGAATTCAACAATTATTGATCTTCATACTAATTTACTAAACAGTAAACAGTGAAGGTCATCTCTACGACTCTACCTCATTGATACTTCTATATTTCGATTCCTATTTCTCCATGCTAGCAAAATCTACTTATCCAATTCAATGTATTACCTTTCAGAACAAAAATTTCAGCAGTAAAGTGAACAACCAAGCAGTACAACCTCAAAATTTACCATTCCAATGCATTTACCTTTCATTTTACTGCAAAAAAAATCACAAAATCTACTCATCCAATTCAATGTATTTACCTTTCAGAACAAAAAATTCAGCAGTAAAGTGAACAACCAAGCAGTACAACCTCAAAATTTACCATTCCAATGCATTTATCTTTCATTTTACTGCAAAAAAAAATCACTAAATCAGAATTCTATCAAAAAACTGCATTGACAAAAGTCAAGGAAGTTGATGTACTGGCTGATTTGATTGAGAAGGAATTAGGAAGTTTCCTAATCAAGAGGATGCTATTTAGGAAGTTTATTTATCAGGGGGAATTATTTAGGAAATTTTTAATTATAATTAGGAGGGAATTATTTAGGCAAGGGATCTAATTTTAATTCGAATTTGAAGGGGATTAATTAGGAGATGTTTCCTAATTAAAAATGACAGATTTGGGGTAGATTTAAGGGCTGATTTAGAGGAGATTAATTATGAGATATTTCCTAATTGGAGAAGGCAGATTTGGGGGTTGATTTGAGATAGAATTGGCGGAGGGCTGTTTTGAAATTTGTTGTTTATTATTTGCTATAAATAGTAAGGTTTATGTTATGTTTTGTATGGAGAATTTTGTGAGTGTTTGTTGTATACTATTTTTATGAGGAATCCTAGCAGCATCTAGGGTTTGAGACTATCCTCCTCTCGGAAGAGGACCATTGTATCTTGTTTGTTCGTCTTTCTTTTTTTATCAATAAAAATTAGCTTGCTGAATTTGTCCTTGTTTGTTGGTTGTTTTTGATACCAAGGCATATCAAATTGGTATCAGAGCACCTTTTTGGGACCTATGATGGCAAAGAAGGTGGATGCATTGGAAGGCATAGTGGACCAAATCAAATCCCAGTTGATGGAGAAGTTCTCAACAATTGAAGGAAGGCTTTCATCCTTGGAAGGAAGACTTTCTAACATAGAGGATATGATGATAAAAATATTGGAGTTTCACACTCAACCGATAATATCGGAGGCAAGGGTACTGTTAACCGGATAAGAAAGTGGGGGAAATCCTAATATAGAGATGATGAGGGATGATGGGGAAGTGGAAATGTTGGGGGAAGAAGAGGAGATGTCATCTTTGGAGCCACTTCCAAGGAAGGGAAAGGATGGAGTGAAATTTTTGGTGGAGCTATAGAGTTTGGAAGGAGACGAAGATGGGGAGAAAGATCGAAGAACCAGACATGGTTTTTTAACTCCTACAATAGTATCGAGAGGTGTTTCAGCCAGTAAGGGGTTGCCTCATCTGCAGGAACATGAGCATGTTATCATTTTGAAGGAGTCTCACATATCACAGCTCATCCGTATCATTCTCCCCAACTCCAGAAGAATGCGATCGAGAGATTGATTAGGGAGATGTTGGAGGCAGGGATCATTCGACTCAGTGACAATCCATTTTTCAGTCCAGTGCTATTAGTACAATGCTTCAACAATCATTTCCTTCGTTCCAACTTGAGGACAAGGTGGCACTTTAGGAGCGGAGTATTGATGGACCTGTCGATTTGATTGTGAGATAATTAGGAAGTTTTCTAATCAAGAGAAAGCTATTTATGAAGGTTCTTAATCAAAGGGGAATTATTTAGAAAAAATATAATTACAATTAGAAGGGAATTATTTAAGGCAAGAGATATAATTTAAATTCTGATTTGGAAGGGATTAATTAGGATATGTTTTCTAATTAAAAAGGGCTGGGGGCTGATTAATTAGGAGATGTTTCATAATTGGAGATGACAAATTTGGGGGTTGATTTGAGAAGGAATTGGGGAGGACTGTTTTAAAATTTATTAATTATTGTTTGCTATAAGTAGTGGGATTTATGTTATGTATGGAGAATTTTGTGAGTGTTTGAGGTCTACTATTTTTGTGAGGAATCCTAGCAACATTTTCGGAGAGATGGTCCTTATCTCAAAAGAGGACCATTGTATCTTGCTTGTTTGTATTTTTTTCTTATCAATAAAAATCTATTATTTGCTAAATTTGTCCTTGTTCTTTGGTTTCTTTTGATACCAAGGCATATCTGAAATTTATCTCACTGGAGCAGATCAGTCAATGATACTTACAGCCTATCCCGATGAAGGCGAGGTCGACTTTCGCGTGCGTATGGGATTGAGGTTGAGGAGAGAAGTCAGGCGTCTCACGTCTAGTTGGTCTAGGATTGTGGCAGTGGAGGAGGTCGACTTCCACAGGAGTTTCACATGCGTCTGAGCTCGAGATCGAGGGAAGGATGCAGACATTTAGCTAGTCTAGGCTTGCGCAGAGGAGGTCGACTTCCACAGGCGTCCCACATGCGTTTGTGCTTGAGATCGCGGGAGAGTAGTGCAAAATCAAACAAATTAGGGATATACATATAGAATTTTACATTACCAATCCCCTTTTTTTTCCCGCGAGGAGGCGAGGGGGTGCTCCTCCAAGTTGCAACTTGCGCACCAACTTAGCTCTTCCACTAAAGTGCCAAATCATCATCGACTCTCTCTACCCACTTCATTGGCTTACTTTCATCCTCATTGGCCATAGGCTTTCCTCTCTGGCTCAAGACCAGTTAAGGTATTACCCTCCTTCTACTTCCCAACCACCGTTGCACATCTACTATAATTTATCGCCAAGATCTATTGTTGTGGTTAAATCTCGTGTGTGTTTAAATTTTAAATCCTGAAACAGACATCCAACTAGTTTGCAACGATTTGGCAAGATTCAATGGATGTTATACCAAACAGTTTCAAAATTTAGCACCCTCGGATCTTCCTAAAACCTACATGATTTAAATCCTAACTATTGTCAATCAAACATGTAATTAACAACCAAAATTCATTTCACAAGTGTTCTAAATACTCCAAATGTAATGATTTCATTTTTCACAAACAAAAAAATAAAAATAAAACCATCACATTTCAAATGAAAAACTTTATAAGATGATAAAAATTAAAGCTGAATCAGCACCAAATGAACTTGCAAGCATTAAATTATCATCCTGCCCTCATATCCAACAATTCAAATGTTTCATTAGTTGTTTTCCACTACCGATTTAGTTTTCCTATAGCATTGTTCTATTCTGAGACCTACTTTCTAGGAAGATTTACATACATAACGCTATATATTTACATATTTAGCATCAAATTTTGATATGTTCTTATATCACTTTAGTTTCTAAATGACACCAAAAACATCATTAATATTAACTTATTTAAAGTGATATATATACCTTTTCAAGCATACTTTTTTATGTCATTTAGATCTAGGATGATAGAAAGTGAATAAACAGGTGTAGATGTTGGATATGTAAATATATAAATTCACTAAAACCCCTGACTTTCTATCTTAAAGCAATTAGATGAGCTTTAACTGGAAAAAAAATAGGGTTAGCAGATTATGTAAAGTGGAAACTAACCACTTGGCCGGCTCTACAAGGGGCTTGTACTTCCCATACCTACATTAAAAATAAAAAAAATAAGCAAGGATGGAACTTTCTGCATTTATTAAAACCCGCGTTAACCAAAAACCTAACAAAGAGGGAAATTCATTAACGGAAAATAACCAAACCTGCGCTTCCAGTCGATCTGCTCCTTGCATCTTGGACAGACCCCAGTAATTTCTGAGTAAGGACGAAACTTTCCGCCTAATTCCTACAAAAATTCACACAATAAGCATCAGAGAAGACGAAAGGTGACCATCAGAGATAGGATAACCAGCGAGAAGGACCTTTTCGTTCTTCTTACGACCGGCGTTGGGATTCCAGGCGAATTTATTCTGATGCTTCGGGGGACCATGCCGCGCCAACATCGAGCGACGCTGCCTAGGAAGAAACAGGAGAAAATAGAGAGAAGAAAGACGATGAAAGCACGGATGTCAATTCGACTCCACCTCGAACTATGATGCCCGATCCGACCTTCCCGTTTTCAACGGCTGGGTCTGTCCGGAGGGAATTGGGGTGATGCGGTCTAATTAGTAACTTTGGGCTTAAATTTTGGGCAAATTATTGCATCCAGTCACCGGCTGGGGAGATAGGTTTGGATATTGATAAAATATTATTTTAAATTAAGCACGTCAAAGCGTAAGTCAAAAAGCGCAACTAAAGCGCAGTCAAAAACGCAGGTGACATGGCAAATTTTTATTGGATGTCCGAACCTATTTTCCGCCTCCAGAGACCGGATGCAATAATTTACCTAATTTTTGAGACTGTTTGGTTAGAATATTAGTGAGTAAAATATTTTAAATGCAGGAATTTTGATAAATTAGTGTTTGATTGGATAAAAAAAGTAATTCAAAGTAAAATAAATATAATATAACTCATTCTAGTTTATTTTTGAGAAAAATCAAATCGATCAATTTTGAGCAAAAACGGTTTACACTACAAGCAAACTTGATGGATAGCCACCAATCGTGGTTGGCCGCCTCCACCAGCCTCCGGCCACCACCGTCGGCCATTGTCACTTGTTGCCAGTTGTCATTTCCGCCTGCCATAATTCGGCACCTTATGACTGGCCACCATCACCACCTATCATCAGCAACCGCCGAATGTCACTACCACCTACCACTAGTTGTCATCCCTCTGCTAGCAACCACTTGCCAACAACCACCACCACCATCAATCACGCATTAGCCACCCCTGTCACTATCTGCCGGCCACCACTAGCCACCACCACCTCCCGGCCACTCCGCCTCTGGTCGCAATCCATCGCTGGCACTGATCACAACCATCATTGGTCGATGTCGCTACTAAACGCCAACCATCACCACTGTCGCCACTTCCCCCACCAACTGCCAGCATTTTTTTGACTTTACAATATATTCATCATTTTAAATCAAATAAGAAAATCATTCACTTGTATTTACTTTTTATCCAAACAACTCAAAATATTTCTTTTATGTTGTATTCCTTTTCTAGCGAACCAAACACTGGAGAAAAACTAAAAGTTATCATTTTTTTAGTTTCATTGAAATTTAAGGGGTTGTTTAGTTTGAACTAAAATGGGTGTAAAATATTTCAAATGCAAGGATTTTTAAAATAATAGTATTTGGTTTGAAGTAAAAAAATAATTATGGTATAAAATTTTAGTGCATTTAAAATTCATCAGCTTGTTCATTTTTTGTGCATTTTAAATTTCATAGATTTGATTGATTTTCAAATACACCCCAAATTCATCATCAGTATTGGCCACCGAGCACTATTTTTTCTAGACTTTATATTGTATTCATTTTACTTTAAATCGAACAAAAAATAAAGAATGTTATATATTTCTTTTACACTCATCTAAATAACTCAAACAAAAAATTTTAACTGCATTTTCTATCCACTGTATTACATTTAATTTTTTTTCAGCCAAAAATATATAGAGAGAGAGAGAGAGACTATTTTCTGATATAAGTATCTTTTTTTTTAATCAATTTTAAAATAAAATTTCTGTTATAAGTGTCTTATTCTCCCAAACAGAAACAAAATGAGAATTAAGGAATTCAAATACTTTTGTTCTCTTTTGAAAAAAAAAAGAAAGAAAGGATCTTATTCTAAACTTTCATTATAAAATTTATTTATTTTTTAAATAATACAAAATTTATAATCTCTTAAATACAATAAAAATTATTTTTCTCTCTAAAAATGAATCGATTTACTTTTTAAGCTGAGAATGTATATGCAAAATTGTATATATTATTATCTTAAAACTCCCAATCAATAGTTGATGGATTTTTTTTATTTATATCTTTTTTTTTTTTTTTTGAGAAAATTCTAAATCAAATGACAAGCATCGAAATACATCCATTGGGGAATATTTCATAAATACAACATCATTAGATATTTGTTGATTATGAAGACATTGACATCACTCGATTGTGTAACTGAGGCTTCGTTTAGGACGGCTTTTTTATTGCTTTCTAAAATGGAGTTTTAGTACAAATTTTTTTTTTTTTTGTATTAAAATTCCGTTTTAGAAAACAATAAAAAAGCAGTCCCAAACGAAGCCTGAGTGATGGTGTTAAGAGTTAGATGACAGCAAACGTTAGTTAAACTAATGTCGATGGTCCGCACATGTTAGATGTTGTGGGCCTGTAAGTATCAACGAAAGGAGAAATTATTATGTGCAGAGTCCGGGCATAGAGATACGTCCGAACTCCAATGAGTGTGTGACGAGTGGATGTGTACATAGTGTGTACAACTATGTACACATTGTGTATATAGTGTATACACACTTTGTATATAATTATATAGTGTATACACTGTTGTATACAGTGTATGCATAGTTGTATGCAACACACTGTACATAGTGTGTACATACAATGTACACATCCACGTGTCACACTCTCATTGGAGTTCGAATGTGTCTCTATGTCCGCACATGTTAATTTTAAACTAGAAAATTATTTTAAGAAGCAATAAAAAAGCTATCCCAAACGAAGAATTGATTTGGGATTTTTTTTTACTACTTTTTAAAACAAAATTTTATTTGTTTTCTGAAACAATTTTTTAGTACAAAAATTTTTTCTAGTTTAAAATTTTTGGGATGTCCGTACAGTATAATATCTCTTTGATTAGAAAGGCTTGTTAGCTGATGGTTCCCTTTTTCCAAATATATTCGATTGTCATTACTCAGCATATGATTTTTTTCTTTGTAGCAAACATGCTCCTTGGCCTATTGGTTGAAAGCTTAGGCTTCCAACTAAGAGGTCCAAGGTTCGAGTCCATGTGTATGTGTTGTGTGTGTGAGTTTGCCTTAAATGGCCTAAATGTCCCAAAAAAAAAAAAAAACATGTGGCATCGTCCGTTAAGCACCTTCACAATTCAAAAAAAAAAAAAAAAAAGAGGATTAGCTTTTCACATGCATTCACCGAGCATAAACAAAACCTATAAACATATAGAACAGGTCACATGACTAAGATTTCATTTGAGAAATCTTTCTTAATGCTTAGTAAATCAACTTTTTGGTACAAAAATTTTAATTTTTTAATTAAAAATTTATTTTAAAAAGCAGTCCCAAATGAAGCCTAATGCTTCATTTAGGAGAGCTTCCTTGCCATTTTTATAATAATCTGCTTAAAAAAATAATAAAAAAATGTCCCAAATTTTACCTAAAAATTTCTTTGTAAACTTTTGATGCAATTCAAATTCTCAGACATCTGCTTACTAAATAGGGTACTTCCCCCACTTGATTCCCTCATTTATTCGCTATTGTTATGGCACCCCTATTAGAAGAAAGCAACTAAGATTTATAGCTTCTATGGCATGGCAAATTATTACGTCCGGTGTCCGAATTCGTTCTGACATCAATCCAGATGCGCCACATCCCCAAAATACACCGGGCCTCGATGTATTTGGGTGACGTGGCGCGTGTGGAATGAATGTTCGGACGTCCAATGACCAAAATACACCGGACCCCATTGCGGCCTACCAGATGACATGACGCGCTTTCATTCGTCTCTGAACAATCCGATGTCCGCACAGAATAATATCTCTTTGATTAGACAGGCTTGTTAGCTGATGGTTCCCTTTTTCCAAATATATTCGATTGTCATTACTCAGCATATGATTTTTTTCTTTGTAGCAAACATGTGGCATCGTCCATTAAGCACCTTACTGTTTTCCTTCAAAATCCCTGGAATATTTCATTCTTGATGGTGAAATAAATGGGGATATTATCAGCATAATTCAAGTTGGATGGTTGAAGTAGAGGAATGCATCGAGCTTGTTGTGTGATAGAAAAGTTCCCCTCAAACTTAAGGGAAATTTTTATAAGTTGGTAGTGAGACTTGCAATGCTTTATGATGACAAATGTTGGCTATTAAAAAAGGGATGAGTTGCTTTACCTATAGATATAGGAAATGAAATGAGCATATCCGTGAAAAGGTTGGAGTAGCTCCAATGAAAGATAAGATTAGAGAGAGTCGCCCTAGATGATTTGATCACATAAAACGGCGGCCTTCCGAAAACCTAGTTAGGATTTAGGAAAGTAGTATGTTAAGAAAGGTAGAGGTAGACCTAAAAAGATTTGGTTATAAAATATTAGACATGACATTTCTTTATTAGATTTAAACGAGAATTTGACTTTTAACATGACACGATAGAGAAAAAAGATTCATGTAGACGACCCCCCTTAGTAGGACAAAGGCTTTATGTTGTTGTTGTTGTTGTATTCTATGATCAAAACAATGGAAGATACTCATTACACGATAATATTTTGTAATTAAAAAAAAAATCTTTCATGAAGTATTCAAATTAAAAAACTGGATCGAAAAAAGAAATCTTTGCTAATGCCTGTTCACGTGAAACCGAAAGCATTCAAGCATTGCAAGAGATAAGGTTGCAAAGCAATGAATCAGATCGGGTATGAAATATTCATAGCTATTGCATCCTTGGTAAGGATAAGAAAAGCTACTTGACCTGCATGGCGATCAACCTGAATAATTGTAGCAGTCAAAGCATCCATCTTTTGGTTTTGATCACATCTACAGCCAATTTGCTTAGTTGGGGAAGAAGATGCTTCGTCAGACTCTCTGAACATTATTCAGGAAAATTTATTCTCCCTTCAATCTTTCATCAGTCTCCAGCAAAACAGAAGTCATCAATTGAGTTGTCAGACGGGATTAGGGGTGCAACCGAGTCAAGCCGACTCGCGAGTCGGCTCGGACTCGACTCGGTAGCAAGCTCGACGAGTCGAGCTTATCGAGCTCGCGAGTCGAGCTTGAACACGAGTTCGAGCTTGACGGCTAATCGAGCTCAAGCTCGAACATTCCTCGGACTCCACTCTTCGGCTTGACGAGCAGCTCGACGGCGGAGCTCGCGGGTGGGAAATCCAATTCTTGCGAGCAGGAAATCCATAGCGACGGAATCACAAAGCACGTGCGGATCTCAACGGCTCGGACAATGAAACGGCTCTTTCAAAAGAGGAGATGGAGGAGTCTAGTGGCCGCTCCGACTCTCATAC